AATAGGCCAGAAGTGGCCGCAGTACAAGGGACTTAGTCCCAACCACTAGCAATAAAAAAAAATAATAACATAAAATTATAAAACGGGTTTACATCATATAAGTATGGAAAATACGCCCTTGAATGGGGCGAGAAAGCCTCACTGTGGGAGATCAAAATGTTCGACCACCGAGATGAGTCGGAGTGAAGTGTTGGGCTGGGACTGAAGGTTCGACCACACAGAGCGCTACGTACGCTATGTTCGTTATACGAACAGAAAAATATCTCCCTTTATTGCCAATGTGACTGGCCACACAGACTTCAGTACGCTACGTACGCTATGTTCCCTATGTTAGCTGCGTCGCAGAGTGTACACAGCGTACGTAGCGTACGTAGCGAACATAGCGTAGCGCTCTGTGTTGACGAACCTTAAATCGCGTGTGTACGGACAAGAGCACTCACAAACCGGAACATTCTGGTACGTTTGTTTCGCTAGACAGCTATTTCGTGAGATCCACAGAAGCGAACATTAACCCACAGCATATGGGCACCAACGTTTTACTAGTTTGTGTATATAGTTTCTCAGGTCGACCGCACTATTTATTTCATATCGAACTAATTGCACACATGAATATGATTTTCAAAAAACGAAGGTAACAATTTTAAGAATACTGCTTTCCTTTTAGGGCAAACTGGAGGCAGAGTTCACACTCTTGACAAAGGAGGAAGCAGAGAGAAAGCCAGCCGGTTTTGGGCGTAATGGCCCGGATCCTCTCAGCCTGCCAAAGTAAGTTATGAATGGGTCGTTCTTATTAAACGACGCTGTATCAACTGTATCATATATGTAACGTCAGCTTATATGACAGGTCACTTGCGTAAAGTGAACTTCTAGAATAATCAGAATGCAGTGGCTTATTTGAAGGCATTGTCAGCGTTTGCCTTGAGCGACTGAGGAAAACTATGAAACATCTCAATCATGACCGTCGGTGTTTCGGACGATTGTAATTGGACATCCTCCGAACAAAATTCAGAAGCGTTAATATAAATTAACCCATTAGATTTTCTTGTTTCGTATCCTAACCTGTCTACCATTCATCATTTCCTCTCATCCCAAACACAGCCTGCAGTTGAGAGAAAGTCGTAAAATTATAAGAATGAAACAATTAAAATAGTCCCCGAATGCGTCCTACAAGTATAACATCCTTTTTAATTCACCTTTCTCAATCATCTTTCCATTGAATGCTATATGAAGTTGACAAAATTTCATTAATTGAATCAAGAAAGGAATATTGTCTTCTCGCGTCCTTAATAATATTGTCACGTGTCCGAGTATCCGTGGCAAATAATTAACGAATTACGGATTTGACGGAGATGTTTTATTGAATAAGTTGTAACCACAAAGAATTATAACTCTCCAAATTATTACTAAAACATAAAACAAAGTGTTTACACTTTAATTCTAATTTTCGTTTGTAGCGTCCGGGACTCTGCTGTTGGATTCCGTCAGTCCGTTATCTTCGCTACTCTTATAATCTTCTCTTTAACCGTGTAGTTGTCACTAGTCTTTTAACTGCTGAGCTGCTTTAAACGACGTCTTCCTGTCGAATCCTCTCGAACAGTGGTCACTGCTCCCTATATAGGCTCGGCAAGGACCACCCACAGAAAACACATCGCTGCTTAGCAATGGATATCATGCATTGATAGTGTGTCCACCCCATACACTGCCTAACAATGGACGCCCTACGGTTGCGCATTCGTTGTTGTGATATGTGTTTACCGGTCTGTTACCAAGCACCGGACGCCCTTTTATTGTTGGATGCTCGTTGGTTGGAACATGTTTACGTATTCGTCTCCTAGAAACGGCCCAAACTGTCAAAATATTTACAGTTGATACAACATCGTTCGCCAGAATTACTGGGTTCATTTCCTATCTGACAGAAGCACAATCATAATTTCTTTCCCTTCTTTTTAATCTCTTCTCACTTTCTCTTTCTCTTGTGTTGCAGACGACCGGAAACTTCTTTCCTGTGGCTAATGAATCCAGTGCGATCCTTCAAACATATAATATTGCCCCATTTCAAAGGTGTATTTTTAATAAGTGTGATCTCTATCATAATCTTCGTAGGTTTGTTTTTATTAATACGTTATTTAATCAATAAGTTCACTATTTAGAAATAGAAACGTTGTCAAGATATTGTTCTGTGCCTTTTTGAAAATTGGGTACATCATGTTTTGCCAGCTACATGACGGCAGCCCTTACGACTGACGTTGGCTATTTTCCGGCTGTTAGGCTGGAGCCACACGAGCGCACAAAATGCGTCCGTTGTAACGAACGTCGTGCCGTCCGTTGTAGAAATAAACAAGAGGGGCGAATGCTACGCTTTCTTCTGGCTCCATTGTAGACAAAAACTACGCACCGCATTCTGCAATTGTGTGGTGTCCTCAGCAACGTTCGTCATAAAGTACATTTGTTGCAACGGACGTACTTCGTGCGCTCGTGTGATCCCAGACTAAATCGTTATTCATACTAGATGAAAGTTTAAATAATAATAGTTTCTATTGGATAACGTATATTAGACTATACAGTGGCTTAGAATAGAGTTTTTAATAGCTCAGCGGCAGTCATTTAACAATCTTTGAAATAAAAATAAAATGGTATTATAGATAGGTCAAGATTTTTGCATATTTTATGTACCTTATATAAATAATAGTTTAAAATTTTTAAATAGCATGTAGTAATGCAACAAATGTGAATCTTCACCGCCGTGAAGATCTCAGCTTCTGTAGATACTCACTAGTGCCGCGAAGTTGTGCAGCTGCAAGGAATGGTTGCATGCAAAACACGTATATGTATATGAATTCTTAAAAGTGACTTTTTTGTTTAACCTTAATAAAATGCTTTGTTTGGCCGTGCTTTGTCTTAGATATGTCTTGGTGTATAAAAGTTCTGTTTCCTAGCAATTGATGGGACTTCCTGTCTGAATTTTTAGAGATGATTGTAACTAACCCTTTTTTCATAGTCGGCCAATATTTTAAATTCTATTAACCTAATGATATTAAACTGAAATCATTGACAGTTACTAGTTATATTTACATGCTGATGGTAGCGCAGACCCCCACCCCTCAGAATTCTCCCTCGCCACGGCGATTACAGCACGAAGACGAGGGTTCCTGTCTGATTATGGTCGTGTTGCAACCGGGTGTTACGATTTCACTTATATTTCGTCTTGCACCTGTCAGGCCGCTTCTGTGGTCTAGTGGTCAGAGATCCTGCCTACAGATTCAGAGGTCCCGGGTTCGATTCCCGACGCTATAAGATTTTCTGAGAAGTAGTGGGTCTGGAACGGCGTCCACTCAGCCTCGTGAAGATAACGGAGGAGCTATTTCAAGGAAACAGCGGCTCCGGTCTACAAAACCGAGATTAACGGCCGTGGGAATCCGTTGCGCTGACCACCCGACACCCTCTATCCGCAAAAGTTGGCACTAACTTCGCCGACAAGCGGCGGTCGCACGGTCGTTATAGTTCGCTTGCGGACTACAGGCCACGGAGTTTGTTTTTTGTTTGATCTGTCACAGTCAGTGTAATTTTTTACGGTTAGGCATTTATGTGTATGGAATTTTTAATAAGTCACTGTTCGGCGCCAGTCCATTTTGTCAAGATCTCGCGGATCATAGCCTATTCTCCCATAATTTACTGTGTCCAGAGAAGTATACGTGTATACAGCGCTAAATGTTACGAAAGTTGTCAGATAACCAAATTATCTGCCTAGCGTTTGGTGCTCAACGTTTTGTGTTTTTTGACGCTGTTCAGCACCTACCTCCATTGCTCACCGCGTTTCGAGAAAGCCTCTGAATAGTTCAGCTGTAATTTGTGGTCCAACTCTTCTGTTGCGTCATCATCAGATAACTTAAGGCAGTGTCGACAAAGTTTCCTTTATATCTGTTTGTTATGTTAATATTTACGTAGGTAACACGATGCTCCACAGAGAATTTTACCGAAGTCCTTCATTGAAGAAACTGTGATGATTAACATATTTTTTCTATTGAACGAACTTAATTTTAGGTAATGCGTACAATATTCTGGAATGTGTAGCCCTGTAGAAGTTGGCAGACGTTTCGGGGTAACGCTGGTTTACTTCGATGTCATGGTAATGAACCTCTGGATTGCATTCAAATATGAAAAGCTCATATTAGCTAAATAACCATCCACTCTTCAATGGAGACCTTGTACGTTTGTAGTTCGCTGCTTGGTTGGCTAGTTATTAGATCTTCAGATACTCAACCAGCCCGTTCCAGTTTTGTTAGAGCATGTCGTAGGGTACGCTGCCCTGTTTCCATATTTCCAGTCTTTGTTACGTCTCCGTTACATTTCCCTTCTCCGCTTTACATGAGTTGCGCTCTATTTTAAACACAAATTTAAGCACGAGATAATAGTCTGGCTTTTGTTAAACAGAGACAGACTTCATGTCAGCCATTAGAAACATTCTGTCCTTCCGCTTGTCCAATTACTATCTTTTATAACCGATCATTACCTCCAGGCGCTATATATACAGGATGTCCCAGGAGGAATGGACCAAACTTCGGGAGGGTGTTCCTTATGTTAAAGTATGCCGAAATAACCCGAAACACCTATGTCCAAAGTTGAACGGTTACGGAGATAATGGCACAAGAAAAGTGTGGTCTTCTGGCAGGTCCACGCACTGTACCTCTCAGCTGAGAGGCCTTATCTATGTTTGTCCTTGAGTGCCGTGATTCACCCTAGCCGTACGTATGTAGTTGGCTTTATCAGAACGCGCAGTCAGCCACGTTACGTCAGCGCTTGCCATTCATGTGTCGTGTATAGTGCTTGGAAACCCTAAGGACAATTATGACATGGCGAGCGAGTATTTTGTACTTCAATTTTATGGCTTCATGTCACTCACAAGTTAGTCTGATGTTACGTACATTATTAACATTACATAATCCACATATTCCTGCCAGTTTTAATATGTATTTTGTAATCAACAAGCGTGCAACGCCGGTCAAAGTTTGACACTTCTCTGGCCATTATCTCCGTAACCGTTCAACTTTGGACATAGGTGTTTTGGGTTATATCGGCATACTTTAACATAAGGAACACCCTCCCGAAGTTTGGTCCATTCCTCCTGGGACACCCTGTATATATATATGTATTATAATTAATATTTACTGTTAGTTCCTCGGAACTCTAGCCGTGGTAGAGGGGTCATATCATCTCTCGCGGAGCTGGTGGAGCAGTCTTATCAGCTTACGTCAGCGTGGGTACTACCAGTTTGAAATGTAGCGTCTTGGAGTGTGATCAGGTGTATAGCACGTTGTGTCTCTACTCCTGGTCTCCGTAGGCAATGTTTTCCACTCGGAGAGTATCTCTGAACGTCGCCACAGCAAGCGTACAGCTTCGTGTGCTCCACATCAGCGTTTACCTTTCCGCGCGGCTACAGTTACGAGGCACTAACTATACATATATTGTGGCTCATTTTTAATGTAACAGCGACATATGCTCATTCTTTATATATTACTTCTAAGAATACTGACACCGTAATCAGCGACAAAGCTTCCGTAATATGAAGGTAAAGCAGCAACAGCTAACTGTGTAGCTTTGACAAACTGCCCACGCAAAGCCATCAGGACGGTTGACCTGAGGCGGTGTCACAACTTAACAAATAATTTCCAATGGCTGAAGTAATTACACATGTGAATCCCAAATTTTAGACTTTCAATGTGGTTTTCTTTACTGCAGTCAATTTGCGACTTCAAACCCACTCCGAAGCTGAAGTGTCATATGCATGGTAACTTAGTCATTAGGCCTGAATATGATACGGCTTATTATCGCAAGTGTCAAAACGAGGGGTGTGTAATCCATCATCACTCATTCACGCGCTGAACAAGCTAACATTATTGAAGACTGTAAAGGCCCGGTTGTAAAAATATATAAAGTTTACTATTTAACTTTGCAATAGTCATTATGTGGCATGTACTGTCTTCGCTTGCTCTGAAACCGGGATCGTGGGTTCGAATCCCACTCAGGGCATGGATGTTTGTGTGCGTTTTTCTGTGTTTGTGTACATGTAGAGGCCTTGCGACGAGCTGATCACCCGCCCAAGGAGTCCTACCGAATGTGTAAGATCTAGAAAAACCGAAGTGAACGGAGAAGTTCATGGAGTTAGGCCTAGGCCCACTGGGGCTGCAGTGCCAAGGGGAAAAAAATAGTCATTATGTGCAGCATAGAGTACTAGCACTGTACAAAGCCTAACGTGTTTTCATTCAAATAATCCAGCCGATTAACTGGAGAACGAATAAAAAATTTAGAGACGTGAAGAGAACAGAAAATTGCCTAAACAGCGAAGACTCTTCTTGTATTTCCTTAAAAACATCCCGGCTTTAACAAGACCTTCCTTCAATCACAGCAAGACTATAACAAAATGGCGGAAGTTATACGCAGAAAGATTCGACAGAATTACGAAACTCTTTAACCTCTGTGCCAATATCTGGTGTAGATGTTTGTATGGCAAGGTCACTCCCATCACTTAACAGTTTAAATTACTATATTTCCTGTTTTGTCAGATGGTTCATAAACTGAGGAAATGAACCAGCAACATGTATATTATCACGCCTTGAAAAAAAAAATAAAAGACATGCTGCACATATGAGTACAGAGATTTTTGTATAGTGTGGGACTGAATTGTAGAAGAAAGTACAATCTCTGATTATCACGATTCTAATGCCCAAGAGAAAAACATGCCAAAAACTACTCATCAGACTAATCACCTACTCTCCACTCGGAAATCTATTATTACTGTTACATTTTAACATCTCAGTATCGATGAAACGATGCTTTTTACTGTACCTTTTATAAAATAATCTGTATAAAAGTACTGTAATGTGCTTGTTTACCTCTAAATACATATTTAAATCATTTTTTACTTTCCTTTATCTGGCCTTTTTTTGTCTTACGTAAGAGAAAATTTCGACATATGACTCATCAGATTTTATTAGAATAAGACTGCAAAAGTAATAGGCGCGTTCGGCAGAAAGAAGTATATTTTAAATATAAGGAACTCTACTTCCCTTATAATAACTAACATTAAATTCACATACAACTATTAAAATTGGCGAAAAGTCAAAACTATAGGCCTATAATAAACAAATGAACAGATAATAGTAAGGTGTCACTGTTTACTCTTATTACTCACACGGGAAGAAACCTCTCTGATGTTTAGTGTATGTTCCAAAGCCATACTATAATAGATAACTATACTAAAATAATAAACTACATCTGATATTTTCTTCAGTCGCTATTGTGATTAGGAGGCCTTTTTTGTAGTACACG